ACTTATGAGGAAAGGCTGAAAGACCTAATGTTACTTAGGTATGTATAAGAGAAGACTGAGCATGGATTTGCTAACAGTATTCAAATACCTGAAAGGCCACAACAGAGAGGATGGAAGAGGCTTTTCTCTGTGGCTGTAGGGGACAGGAGTAGGAACAATGGCCTCAAGCTGTAGCAGGTGAAATTTAGGTTGGAGATTAGGAGGCACTTTCTGACTATGAAGGTGGTCAAACACTAGAACAGCTACCTAGACAAGCTGTACAACCGCCATCCTTGGATGTTTTCAAAAGCAGGTTAGACAGACACTTGGCTGAGAAGGTTTAGTCAGGAATGATCCTGCCTTGGGAACAGGGCTGGACTAGATGACCTTGTGAGGTCTCTTTCAGCCCTACTTTCCTAAGAGCAAGAAGAGCATAATTGCTGAATGTATGCTGGTAGAACTATTGCTGAAGACTGGAAGAGATAACTCGTCAGTCACGGAATGGAGAAGATATTAAGATGGAGAATACTCTATTTACCCAAATCCAAGACAACTTTGAATTTAAGATAACCCCCAATAATAAGAATCTATACATGGAATATGTATATATTGATTATAATTTTCCATATATAGAATGTAATTATTGGAGGGTCATCTTAAATTCATCCCCCAACTGCTACAAGGGAGAAAGCAGTGAAGGGGGGATGGCAGGGTGTAGTGGGGAGAAGTGGCTTGACACCTGTCCCTTGTCCCCTCCACTTGTTCTTCCTGCTCCCCAACCCTGATACCTGCAAGCCCCATGCCTGCCCGCCCCACAGGGCCAGAACCTCCTGATGCCTTCCCCTGCTGCCTGCCCCCCACCACCTCTGCCCCCTTTGCAGCCTCTGAGCTTCCTACCCTACTTATCATCAGTCATGGCTCCATTCTAGGACAGAACACGTGGTACCTTTGGCCAGGGGCAGCATCTGGTGTCCTGGGGCCAGAGCTGCTTCTCCTGCAACTGCTACTGAGTGGCTGCGCCAGAGGTACTAAGTGCCCATGCCCCCCATGCCAGAATGGGGCCAGAGCAATGACTGATGGTAAGTGAGGGGAGGAGGAGACAGCAGAGCAGTGGCTGTGGCTCTGACTCGGCCCCTAAGCTCGAGTCAGAGCCCCTCCCCACCCCACCCCACCTTGTACAAAAATAGAAGACGAGGGCCTTCCTCCCTCCCAGTGATGAATGGGGAAAACAACCTTGCCTTGGATCTGAGTAAACATGGTGGCTGCTGACAGACGTGACCATCCCCCCACCCCACCCCCACAAAAAAACAACAGAAAAAACAAAAAAACAAACCAAGAAACAAAATTCCAAAAACCCAGAACTTTACCGGACGAGGAATCACTTTAGTTTGACCCAGCTCCCCAGCATCTGTATTGATTGCGTGCTTCAGCGGAGCTTTTTGGTTCTTTTTTCTAAAGCTGATTCAATAAGCTATTAGATAA